ACAGCACAGATACTGTACCACCAGCAGGTCAGACCACAGCACAGATACTGTACCACCAGCAGGTCAGATCACATCACACATCATTAGTTCACCCAAGACACACAAGCCTTCAGGACATAAGGAGCACAGTTTAAATTTTAGTCCGATTTATAAAACCTCTTCACTATGAAACCCACCAGGAAAACAAAACCGTATCTATGAGCACAGAAAGCAAACAGAACAAACATAATGTCTAGAGAAAGAAAATTGTAAAATTCTATAATGGAAATTTAAGGTGAGACAAAGCTTTCAAAATGAAGCACTTAGTCCTCGGGATGTCCAGTGATGCACAAAATACCTGAGAGTCCGCCCTCCTCCTGCTGTCCAGGGCCAGGTCTCAGCTGCCTGCTTCACTCAAACCTGCACGGCTGATGTGGGGTTTCAGAGGAGCCACTCTTTGTCACTCCTCTGTCCAGAGGTGCAGTGAGGCACCGCAACACCTTTCAGGGCCTGATAATCCACAGGGACCCTTACATCCTAAGAGGCAGTGTGCTCAGAGCTGGGTAGTAGCGCAATAACAACCCAAAACACCAGGCAGGGAGCCGGACAGGAGATGACGGCATGGCCCCACCCCACCCCCTGTCCACAGAGAGACATCACTCCCATGAGACACCCAGCCCCTGGGCCCCTGGGCCCCTGGGTCCCTGGGCCCCTGGGCGGTTCTCGGCACCTCCACTGTGACAGGAGGTTTCGACCTCTCAGGGCTCTCCTGAGTGCGAGGTACTCGTGAAGCCCGGAGTGGTTCTGACTGAAGGTCACCCTCTGGTTATCGATTGGATGGCAGCTCTTGCCCTTCTCTTGAGCAGGATGCAGGAGGAGGGGGTATCCACTAGGGCACAGCAGAGAGGACCGAGCCGGGCGGCTCAGAGAGAAACAGAACCGGGTCACTTACACTGAGGGGGTGCTCCTGGCCCAGGATCATCACACGCTGGGTGACTGGTCGCAGGAGCTTCTCCAGGATCAGCTGCATGTGTGCGTGAGTCTCCCCCTGCAGGACAGCACGGACAGGGGGTCAGCCATCACAGCACAGGGGAAACTCCTTCACTAGCTGCATCGGCAACTCTTCTTGTCGACCTGTCCACTCTGCCTGTCCATCTGTCCACTGTACTTGCCCCACAGTATTAAGCAAACTGAAAGCCTCTTTGCCTCAAACCACAGCCCCAACACTGGGGGCACACGAGCCCAGTGCCATCTGAGTGTGCCCACGCTGCAGAACAGAGCCCGCAGGAAGAGGGCTGCCCAGGGGGAGCTGCTGGGGGCTCCTGGACGACAGCTGGAGGGCTGCTGGGTAAACACCTCTTGCAGGAATCAGCTCCTAACATCACTAATTAGGACAGATCCCCTGTAGAACGAGATCCGTACTTCCTGACTCGAACTGCTAACACTCTGCTCAGCGCAGTCACCAGTCTGGGGTGGCCGGGGTGGTGATTTTGTTCACCCAAGTCCCACACTAATGCACTGACCCGCAGCAGCAGGAAGAACGGACAGACAGGTCGTCACTCCGGCACCACAGCTAGACCAGCACAGGCCCAAGGGTCCAAGCAGTGCCGGGAGGTGCAAGTCCACTTGACTGGTGGGGAAAAGGTTTGTATTGTGGTTCAAATTAAACTGACACAACAGCTTCTGTGAAAGAACTCCTGTCCTGAGTGTGGAGAGCCTGACTCCCCAGGAGGAGCAGTGAAGTCAGAATGGACATGGTGGACAGTTCTGCTGTGTGGACAGCCCGGCTCTCCAGCAGGAGCAGGGAAGTCAGAGTGGACATGGTAGACAGCCTGGCTCTCCAGCAGCAGCAGGAGTAGTGAACTGGACACCCTTTCCCTGAAAACCATGCTACTCGCACCAGCTCTGCTGTGCTCTCAGGTCTTGCAGGACATTGCCACTTCCAGGAGGAGAATTCGGATCACTACGCTCGTCTCTGCCTGCGTGGCTAGCAGAGCTGTCAAGCCTGAGTATGCTGCATTGCAGCCAATACACCATGCTGGGGGGCCTGGATACATCCCTCCAACTGTATAAGGATTATTAATGAATATATTTCTCACTGCTAAGATCTAAGATCTAAGCACGTGTTTTAGCTTAACATCTGTGATGCACCGCAGTGCAGAGCTGAGAACAGAGCTGTGATGAAGGGAGCCTGGCTCAGTCCTCAAAGAGCTGCTGGACTGAGCTGGGCTGAGCTGGGATGACCAGTCCTTCCCGAAGCGCAGGCTGACCCCAGCCCCTAAGTGAGCCTCGCCTCTTTGCCTTTACTTCCCCTGGTCTGGAGCGAGGCGGACACAGGCACGGCCAGGATGGACAAAGGGAGTGGACACAGGGACACAGGCTGGGACAGCGCCAGCTGGGACAAACCACAGGGAGAGAGAGAGTTGAAATCTCATTTATCCTGGGCTCAGTCCAGGGGTTAGAAATGTGAACATTGTTCAAGGAATTGTAAAATATGCCTTACAACCCTAATTGATTTAATTGGAAAAATGTCAAAATCATGTTTGAAGTAGCTTGTATATAAATATTCATACAAAGAGCACTGAGGCTATAATTTCAAATTCAGGATGTCTTTACATTTTAAGCAAAAACAACCATTTTAGCCAGGATCCCAGGCAACCAAACAGGAGCCTAAGAAAGGTCAATTGGCTCTTCTAGCACAGACTGTTGCTAATTAGCTGTGAAAGATCTCATCTTTCAGCTTCAGCAATCTAGCTGGGCAGCTTGATTCACACCCCCACAACCCTCTGTGTAAATATGTGCCTCCAGAAAGCAGCATGTCTTAGTCCTCAAGGCTTCACCACGCTGTCCTGTTCCATCTGCATGTGTATAATGTGCTCATTTAAAATATTAATTATTAACATTCAATTTCTAAGAACAATTATGTAATATTAGAAATTACAATCAATTTCAAATTGACCAATCAAGACTTAGATGCCCAAACCAAATAAAGGAATCACTGAAGCAGACTGGAAGCCCCACTTCTGTACAGTGCATGAACGGGTTTCTGAGGTTTCAGGGCGTTTGAGCTAATGAAACCAGTGTGTCGTCGTTGGGAAAGAGCAGAAGTGATGGGACTCCCAGTATCTCCCCTCTGGCTTCGCCTTGTCCGGTCTGCTCAAGCCAGGAAATGACAGGATAGTTGGACTGATATAGTTTCCTCTTCACTGAAGAACCACTTGTTACCTGTCTGTCTGTGTTCTCTGTGTACATGTGCAGTACTGTATATAGATCGAAGAGTAGTGCTGAATAGGACAGTATCTGTCCACAGCTTCGCCTCTTGTCTGTTGTGCTCCTGGTTCAGTCCCACATGTCCTGTTATTTCCTGTGTCTGGGTTGTCAGTCCTTGCTGGGGCCAGAGCGAAGCAGTGCGGGATTGTAAAGAATCGTGGAGGATGAAGATGTGCATCGCTCTGTCTCTCTTACCATTCCCGGCTTGTGCAGCAGCTCCAGGACACTTCCCAGCAGCTCCAGGCAGGTCTCCTCCTCCATCCAGCTGGCGACCAGAGCCTGCACCTCTCCCACCAGGCCAGGGAGCAGGGCATCGCGGCACTCTGTAACACAACACAGCAAGGAACCAAGGTCTCAGCGTCACAGGTGGTGGAAGATAGAGGGGATTTGGGGGAGTGGGCCTGGGGCCGGTGTCCCTGTGCATGATAGCTTCTTATTAATAAGAATTAATAAGAATTCCCCACACTTATATGGCGCTTTTCTGGACACTCCACTCAAAACGCTTTACAGGTAATGGGGATCCCCTCCACCACCACCAGTGTGCAGCCCCACCTGGATGATGCTCCAGTCCGCTCCCCACAAACCAGCTCTCAGTGGGGAGGAGAGCAGAGTGATGAAGCCAGTCCAGAGATGGGGAGTATTAGGAGGCCATGACTGGTAATGACCAGGGGGAAATTTGCCCAGGATGCTTGGGTGACTCTGCTACTCTTTTCGAGAAACACCCTGGGATTTTTAATGACCACAGAGTCAGGACCTCGGTTTTATGTCTCAAACAAAGGACGGCACCTTTTTACAGTATAGAGTCCCAGTCGCTATACTGGGGCATTAGGATCCAGACAGACACCTCTTCCAGCAGCAACCTTTGTTTTTCCCCAGAAGTCTCCCATCCAGGTACTGGCCAGGCTCACACCTGCTGAGCTTCAGTGGGCTGCCATCTGGGAGTTGCAGGGTTATATGCCTGCTGGCCAGATTGTGTTTGATCGATTTCTCACAACACTCGCAATTTACTGTTCCAATTCACAACAAACCACTAACGGTGGCCTCAGCGCAGTTCTCTGTGTGCTGTCCACAGGGCATTGGCAAGCCCTGTCAGAGCTCCAGTCACCTGGGGGTGTCCAGTCAGGCACTGTGTCCCCTAGGACAGACACACTCACAGAGCTATACTGCACTCACAGAGATGCACACACTCAAAGAGCTACAGTATACTGTAAGAGCTGTAGTATACAGAGACCTGACAAAAACACAGGCTCACAAAGAGCAAGCAGTTCAAGAAAGGCCCACATCCATTCAGCTCTTCCTTTTCTTCCACAAGACTGTATTCCTGGCTTGCAGAGTTGTTTAGAACATCAGCAAGGCAAGTAGAGGTAAAACAAGCCAAAGAATGACAGCAAGGTTTTCACGGTGATGCAGTGACTCTGTGCATCAGGATACGTGCACTGCAAGTCCAGGAGGGACGACATGACAAAGAGGCACTTCACCACTTTCCTCTTTTCAAAGTGTGGCTTTGGAAGGACTTAGTAAGATTCAGACATAATAAGGACTGTTTTCAGCGAGAGCAAACGCGTTCTTATCGACTATTTTCCCTTCCTCCTAGTTCCGCGACAAGAAGCACACTCAGCGGGCACGGAGGGCGTGGCGAGGGGCGGTGAATGTCCGTGGGGCGTGGCCTGTGATGTAAAGACGTGATATTTACAAGTAGGAATGAGGAAGTAGGCGAGTTCATAAATTTCTCTTCTCGCACACGTGAATTAAAATGAATTTAAACGGTTCTGTAATATGGTAACCACCATTATACACGATATTCTAAATCTGGTCTTGGCGAAACAGCTGGAACACACCTCCACGTGTGTAAGTACACGATGAAAAGCAGGACAGTTTCTGCTGGGAAACAACGAGATCCAGCAGGGCCGTTTAGATGAAGTATCCTAAACGGGACTGAACAGCTCTTGGCTACAAGACCAACAATTACCATTTTTAAATACATAAACTCCTGCAAGACAGGATTTATACTCTTCGCCAACAACACATTAAATCCTTGATTGATCCTCCCGGCCAGCTAGCTGCAGCTGGAGAGGGTCTCTAATGGAAAATCTAGACGTGTGGTTTTCATTCTTTACTCTGTATTAAAACATAATTCACATTTGAGAAGAAATATCATACATTTAAACTAGATTTGAAGGTGACTGACTAGTTACCCCTGATCATTCTTGTACAGCACATCTTTCATCTCAATGATAAACGTAATTTATTTTACAATTAGCTTAATTTAATATTTTGCTTCTTTCATTTGGCACAGATTATTATTTACTGACACAACAAGAACTAAGCACCTACCTATGGATTTATAGGCAAATTTGTAGTTATTTATGTGCACATTTACATTTCAATAACCATTACTAGCAAGGTTATATAAAATATTAAGCTTGCTGTGCTGATGATGCAATCATGATTTGGTCTGAAAGTTAATTTAGACATGTTTGTGCATTAACAGCAGTTAAATCATTCCACTCTTGAAAAGGCAATGTTTACTTGCTGTTTGTCTTTAAAGCAGTGAAGCACTCTGAGTACACACAGGAACCCTGAAGCTGTAACACCTGCTATCTGCTACAGTCCAGAACTGAAAAGATGCCTCCCAGGTGGTCAGTCTGTGATGCACGTATTCCCTTCTCAGAACTGGTTGAATGATGTAATATGTAAGATTAGGCAGCTAAAAATGCCAGTTAATTTCTTGCCAGACCAAAAAACAACAGAGTAAACTCATATAGAGTTAACTATATGCTGTGCCGTGCAAAAGTATTCAGACCCTTGCATAATTTTCACATTGTTGCTGTGGAGCTTTCACATGACCTGTTGTTATACTGTTATACAACATAATCCACACATTAGAAGCACAAACCAAAAAAAGAAGTACAGTAAATAGATCTTTCATTTGAAAGAAAAAAAAATGGAAAAGTAATGATTAATTAAGTTTTGCTGTGGGAAAACTCAATTAATTTAGGTGCACAAAATTGGCTTAATGAGGCACACAATGAGATGGGTGGCCTGCGTCTGTGTGCAGTAATACAGTACGTGTTCACATGATCTCAGAATAAATGCACCTGTCTCTGCTAGTTCCTGCTGACATGAAGTGTATTTCAAGTAAGGATTTAACTATGACCACTGAGGACTTTTTCAAAGGCATTCAGAGACGAAGCAGTGGAAAAGCACAGATTAGGCCAAAGGTATAAAACATCCCAATACACTGAATATTCCTTTGAGCTCTGTGAAGACACAGTGGAAGAGTGGAGGATTAATTGGATGGCCCAGACACCACCTCAACCAGGCTGTCCCTCCAGCTGGAAAGGAGGTGATTTTTTGAAAGAGCTAAATTATTTTTCAAATTAAATCCATTTCATTTGTAACAGGACAAGATGGAAGCAGAGCACAAAGAATTAGCAAGAGACCAGACTGACACTGACAAAGTCAATCCAGCAGATCTCTTTGATAAGTGAAAGTCCAAAGCTACACTGCAGTGGCTCAAGACAGCGAATACTCTTGTGACACAATCCCATGGGGAATCTGTGGAGAGCCCAGAAAAATGCTGTCCAAGCAATGCCCAGGAACTCCGGAGATCTTCAGCAAATCTGCCAAGAAGAATGCACCCAAAACTGTACCACGCTGGCAGAGCCTCCATTTACAGCAAAATAAGCTTTTGCCAAAGACTGCATTCACAGGTCAGAGTTCTTATACATGCCAGCCCCATTTAGTTCTTTCCTCTTTATTTGTGCTGTGTTTGAGCATTCAGGATATGAATAAAGTATTAAGTTAAAAAGTACAAAAGGTATACAGGGGGAGTGTGTGGGTGAGCGTTCAGAAGGTGTGTGCAGGTGAGTGTAGAGGGGGGAGTGTTCAGGTGAGTGTACAGTGGGAGTGTGCAGGTGAGTGTACAGGAAGAGTGTGCAGGTGAGTGTACAGGGGGAGTGTGCAGGTGAGTGTATGGGGGGAGTGTGCAGGTGAGTGTAC